TCCACGTGACAGGCGGAGATACTTACCACTATACTATCGAGGAGCACGTCAACGCCACCACACTCAACACACTCCAAACTAAGCCAAACTCAACCACCAACTCAGATTTTCAGCACTCACACAACACACACTCTCACTCACTCATACACTACCGACAACAACTAACACTACACACTTGCATTCATGAACAAACTCTCAGATGGCCAGATAGACGGAAACTCACATCGAATCAAACGCAACATAGTATCTCACGCTTATCAACCTGCTCATTACTCAAATCCTCTATTGGTTGACATACTGATCACCTGTACACAACTCCTCCTCACCATAGTCTAACAACACAGTCAGTGGACTAGGACAAACGGTCAGGTGTTCGTCGACCTACTAGTCGAACGGCGAGTACACCGTGACGATCCATTGACACAGTACGTGATGACGTATGATGAGCGATGGTGATGGTGATGGTGATGGTGATGGTGATGACGATAATTGCAGATGAGGCAGATGACGAGAGGTGGATAGTACTGATGTGGACTCACCTCTCCCAATCTCCAGTTTCATGACCATGTGCATAGTTGACAATCGGCTTTCACATGCTCATCGACTGATAGAATGGTGTGTGTGTGTGTTTGTGTTTGTGCATTTGGAAATCACATGATTGATTACCCGTACACCAGACAGATGAATGGATGAATTGATTGGCTAACTGGCCAAGCGTCGTGTAGTGTGTTTGAAAGCTACATTGGTCGATTGATTGACTGGTCGAATAAATTGTTGATTGCAAACTATGGTGATGATGTGATCGATTGACTGTCTTACTGACTGAGGACACTTGCGTGTTTGTAGAGTGTTTGATACTGTGGCGAAATTGATGTGTGGTTCAGTGAGTGGACGAGATGTAGGACTGTGGATTGTAAGAGTGAGTGAATGGTGGATGTAGTGTTGTGTAGAAGTGTAGTCGGCCTCCATAGCTCAGTGGTCAGAGCACTGGTCTTGTAAACCAGGGGTCGGGAGTTCGATCCTCCCTGGGGGCAGCAGCTTTGGCAGCTCGTCACACCACAACACCATACCACCCTACACAGTCACCACACACTGTCTCCTAACATACACACAATGTACATCGGACTCAACCGAACTTACACAAACACAGTCACTTCAACACACAATCATACTTCCTGTCAGTCCACTCCACCAATACCACACATCACGGAGCACACTCACACAGAACCACATCCACATGCCGACACTGTCACATCGCACTTCCCAACCTCCATCTTACACTGGAAAGCTTGGTATTTGTCTATTGGTCAATGCTTCCTCATCATTGCATCCACTCACCCATTTGTCAGTGATCGTTCACTCTCTTCAAATCACACATTCCTTGTAACAGACAACTTGCACGTTTCAGCTCGAATGCAGGTGACGTGATCTGTGTGTGGATGTGTTCAGAGTCAATCAGTTAGATGATCCAGTATATTTTGATCTTGTCCATCCGCCTAACTGAAAGCCTGTTGCAATTGCGAATGGTGTATGTCGTGCAAATGTGTGAATTGTGAGTGTGTCAGTAGTGTTTGGAAGTAGTCGATTGGTGAGCGAACGGTTCCGGTTACCGATGGGACAGTGATGAGAGGTAGGGGATGTTGGTGCGTCGAACGGAATTGACGCGACATTTGTTTGTAGTGGAGTTGATACAATGCACTGGACTAGGAGTGGACAACGTTGAATGAGACAGTGACGATTGTGTGAGTGTGTGTGTGTTGTGTGTGTGTGATGTGTGTGTGTGATGTGTGTGTGAAGTAAGAGCCGACTCCTCGACCGGGAATCGAACCCGGGCCTTCCACGTGACAGGCGGAGATACTTACCACTATACTATCGAGGAGCACGTCAACGCCACCACACTCAACACACTCCAAACTAAGCCAAACTCAACCACCAACTCAGATTTTCAGCACTCACACAACACACACTCTCACTCACTCATACACTACCGACAACAACTAACACTACACACTTGCATTCATGAACAAACTCTCAGATGGCCAGATAGACGGAAACTCACATCGAATCAAACGCAACATAGTATCTCACGCTTATCAACCTGCTCATTACTCAAATCCTCTATTGGTTGACATACTGATCACCTGTACACAACTCCTCCTCACCATAGTCTAACAACACAGTCAGTGGACTAGGACAAACGGTCAGGTGTTCGTCGACCTACTAGTCGAACGGCGAGTACACCGTGACGATCCATTGACACAGTACGTGATGACGTATGATGAGCGATGGTGATGGTGATGGTGATGGTGATGGTGATGGTGATGACGATAATTGCAGATGAGGCAGATGACGAGAGGTGGATAGTACTGATGTGGACTCACCTCTCCCAATCTCCAGTTTCATGACCATGTGCATAGTTGACAATCGGCTTTCACATGCTCATCGACTGATAGAATGGTGTGTGTGTGTGTGTTTGTGTTTGTGCATTTGGAAATCACATGATTGATTACCCGTACACCAGACAGATGAATGGATGAATTGATTGGCTAACTGGCCAAGCGTCGTGTAGTGTGTTTGAAAGCTACATTGGTCGATTGATTGACTGGTCGAATAAATTGTTGATTGCAAACTATGGTGATGATGTGATCGATTGACTGTCTTACTGACTGAGGACACTTGCGTGTTTGTAGAGTGTTTGATACTGTGGCGAAATTGATGTGTGGTTCAGTGAGTGGACGAGATGTAGGACTGTGGATTGTAAGAGTGAGTGAATGGTGGATGTAGTGTTGTGTAGAAGTGTAGTCGGCCTCCATAGCTCAGTGGTCAGAGCACTGGTCTTGTAAACCAGGGGTCGGGAGTTCGATCCTCCCTGGGGGCAGCAGCTTTTGGCAGCTCGTCACACCACAACACCATACCACCCTACACAGTCACCACACACTGTCTCCTAACATACACACAATGTACATCGGACTCAACCGAACTTACACAAACACAGTCACTTCAACACACAATCATACTTCCTGTCAGTCCACTCCACCAATACCACACATCACGGAGCACACTCACACAGAACCACATCCACATGCCGACACTGTCACATCGCACTTCCCAACCTCCATCTTACACTGGAAAGCTTGGTATTTGTCTATTGGTCAATGCTTCCTCATCATTGCATCCACTCACCCATTTGTCAGTGATCGTTCACTCTCTTCAAATCACACATTCCTTGTAACAGACAACTTGCACGTTTCAGCTCGAATGCAGGTGACGTGATCTGTGTGTGGATGTGTTCAGAGTCAATCAGTTAGATGATCCAGTATATTTTGATCTTGTCCATCCGCCTAACTGAAAGCCTGTTGCAATTGCGAATGGTGTATGTCGTGCAAATGTGTGAATTGTGAGTGTGTCAGTAGTGTTTGGAAGTAGTCGATTGGTGAGCGAATGGTTCCGGTTACCGATGGGACAGTGATGAGAGGTAGGGGATGTTGGTGCGTCGAACGGAATTGACGCGACATTTGTTTGTAGTGGAGTTGATACAATGCACTGGACTAGGAGTGGACAACGTTGAATGAGACAGTGACGATTGTGTGAGTGTGTGTGTGTTGTGTGTGTGTGATGTGTGTGTGTGATGTGTGTGTGAAGTAAGAGCCGACTCCTCGACCGGGAATCGAACCCGGGCCTTCCACGTGACAGGCGGAGATACTTACCACTATACTATCGAGGAGCACGTCAACGCCACCACACTCAACACACTCCAAACTAAGCCAAACTCAACCACCAACTCAGATTTTCAGCACTCACACAACACACACTCTCACTCACTCATACACTACCGACAACAACTAACACTACACACTTGCATTCATGAACAAACTCTCAGATGGCCAGATAGACGGAAACTCACATCGAATCAAACGCAACATAGTATCTCACGCTTATCAACCTGCTCATTACTCAAATCCTCTATTGGTTGACATACTGATCACCTGTACACAACTCCTCCTCACCATAGTCTAACAACACAGTCAGTGGACTAGGACAAACGGTCAGGTGTTCGTCGACCTACTAGTCGAACGGCGAGTACACCGTGACGATCCATTGACACAGTACGTGATGACGTATGATGAGCGATGGTGATGGTGATGGTGATGGTGATGGTGATGACGATAATTGCAGATGAGGCAGATGACGAGAGGTGGATAGTACTGATGTGGACTCACCTCTCCCAATCTCCAGTTTCATGACCATGTGCATAGTTGACAATCGGCTTTCACATGCTCATCGACTGATAGAATGGTGTGTGTGTGTGTGTTTGTGTTTGTGCATTTGGAAATCACATGATTGATTACCCGTACACCAGACAGATGAATGGATGAATTGATTGGCTAACTGGCCAAGCGTCGTGTAGTGTGTTTGAAAGCTACATTGGTCGATTGATTGACTGGTCGAATAAATTGTTGATTGCAAACTATGGTGATGATGTGATCGACTGACTGTCTTACTGACTGAGGACACTTGCGTGTTTGTAGAGTGTTTGATACTGTGGCGAAATTGATGTGTGGTTCAGTGAGTGGACGAGATGTAGGACTGTGGATTGTAAGAGTGAGTGAATGGTGGATGTAGTGTTGTGTAGAAGTGTAGTCGGCCTCCATAGCTCAGTGGTCAGAGCACTGGTCTTGTAAACCAGGGGTCGGGAGTTCGATCCTCCCTGGGGGCAGCAGCTTTTGGCAGCTCGTCACACCACAACACCATACCACCCTACACAGTCACCACACACTGTCTCCTAACATACACACAATGTACATCGGACTCAACCGAACTTACAGAAACACAGTCATTGGAATAATAATATATAAAACATGGCTAGGGTGCCACAGTGTAATTCGTGTTTGAAGAATTCATGTATACTTGTATATATTATATATCATTCAATAGCACTCATTTAGATAATTAAGACATAGTTCGGCGCATTGAGGTATATTTTTCCGTTGAAAGAGTATGAAGGATAATATGACCCGTAAGGAGGCGATATGAAGTTTGCGCGTCAAAACATATAGAAATGCCCGAGACAGCGAATTTCATAAAACCCATTTTCGACTATCGGAATACTATTACAAGACCACCGAGATCATTTTAATCGCATTTGCATAATGCTGATTATGAGACCAATGACTTGGAAGTATTATCCCTATATAACATGGTGAGTAAGAGCAGGTGTAAAGCATCAAACAAAAATATAAATGTACGTATAAATATTATGCATCATTGAATATTATGTTATCAGTATGTTATACATTAACAGGGCACACAGGTCATCTGTTATAGCACCAAATATATTGATACTGGACATGAATTGATGCATTTAAAATAATCAACAGAAAAAAAACCCATCAAGTTTACTCTACTTTGGAGAGACAATCGGTATCAAACGTTCCCATACTGACCTGCTATTGTGTGATTGATTGTTTATCAAATTACTTCTATTCTTACGTCTTTTGATATTCATCTTTTGTATAATGTTAAGAGATTACCCTATCACATATTAATTTCATCGCTAATGCAAAACCGTGAAATAGAATAAATCCATTTCATGTTAGAAACCTTGTTATTTTTGAATTCACTTGGTATTGTTGTTTACTTGAATCTTCCCATTGATGTTTAGCACTGCAATTAATCAATCTCTTCTTATTGGCATATGTGCATATTGTCTTAATTTAAAAGCGTTATAAGCAAAGATGAATAGTAGCTAGCAATGGAATCCCGTTTGAATCGCGTTTCGTCCTATTTGGGACTCCTTAACTGAATGTATTTGGATACCGAAGTTAATGTTTTTTAAAAAAAGAGACTGCAGAACTAAACATCAATGGGAAAATGCAAACAACCAATACAAATGAATGATAATAACAGTTTCAGTTTTTTGACGAAAAACGGAATAGGTAGTTTTCTTAGGAGACTATACCCGGAGACGTTTAATCCACAAGGCAGTGGAGATGCAATCTTATGATAGCCAGTGACTAAGAATAGGTTCGTATGCCATTTTTTTGTCAGGATCGGAGCTATTTACTGTGAAGTGTCAATCGAACTAGCTGAGGTGTAAAACACTATAGAGTCGCAATATTCTTGATAGTTTATTTGAAAAGTGGCCAAACAATAGCAGAAAATTCAAAGTTTGTAGCTGATTGTAAAGTTAGAGTATATAGCCGATATAATCTAAAAGAACTCTTGTAGGAAATCAGTATACAACAAACATCAGTTCCCAGTTTTGTTCTAAAGTTAAAACTACATGATTATGAAACTATTAAAGATTATTTAGATTCATTTTATATTCTAAAATAAGGAATAAATCTACACAGTGTTTAGAATTGTTGTGCTAATCGCTCGCACTTCATTGGACAATTGCATAATGATTCAAAACAAAAATCAGAAGGTAGGTAGGTAGATACTATATATCAAAAGTATTGTAACCAATGTACATGAAAGAAGACTTAATAGAGCATATATTCATATTAAACTGTTACTATTTTAGTTATATGATGAAGAATAATTTTTACAATCTGGTATCTTACAACCAATAGCAGAGTAAATTAGCTCTAAACGTTTTGTAGCCAACTGGTTAGCTCGCCTTGAACCATGTGATAAACAGTTAACTATAGTAGATTGGCCTTCTTCTGTATTCATAAGATCATTTATTCGTTTTTGAATTGGATCAAATTCTTCAATAAGTGCATCTGACACTTTGGATTTCAAATCTTCTTTACTCCAATCATTAGGTACTGTAGATAGAATTTCTTCAATTTTACGACCCTTGATAATAAAGACACCATTAAATATTTAGTGGTTATTTAATACTATTTAAATGTATATAAATTAATTAACAGAATCAAAAAGATCATGGATGTGCACTGTTGAGGAATCTCATACTAAGACGAAACGGCCGTCCAGTGCTTCCAGGTTTTCAATAGTGGTCTAACATTGATCAATTCAAGATCAAAACTCAACAATCTCCACAGTTTCATACTAAGAATCAGAAGCGCCAACTTCTAGACAGGGATAAAGAATAAACAAGTAGGACTCTTACCACATAATTCTTAAAATCACTGTTAACTAATGTTGTTGTCTCAAATAAAAAAAACTAAACTTTTTGCATAAATTCAGAACTAAAGAGATGGAGAGGAGAGTCGTTCTTACTCTACACACAGTCCCATAAGATCGCACGTAAACAGCCCCTTCCCGTAGTAGGGTTACATATTTTACAAAGTTAGAGCACGAAAACAGTTATTGGCGCTTAAGCCAGATTAGTGCACAAAAACAATTCAGATAAGAAAATTGGAAAACGTTAGTAAGAAATCAAGGTTGCATATAGGCCCTACTCTCTTAATAGAAGGAACGGGATATGAACGTACTTAGGTCACCTGCTCTACCATGAGAATGCATCATCAAATGTTGCTCCAGTACCTTATGAACAAGACATTTAGAGTGACCATCTATTTTGAGTTACCGAGAAGTATCACACTTCTTACACTACTACTGATGTTTACCAATGAAGGACATGAGAATAACGAACTACGTGCCTTGTCTTCCTAATTACATAAACGATATCTATATTTATTTTCTTATATAATTATATAAAATAGTTGGTTTTCTTCCGTTCAAATACTAGTTGAGACTCACCAGTAAAACAGATCATATCGCTTTTATAGTTGACAAGTTATTATACACAAGATCAATTAGTGTACCAATAATCTGAAAAATTTATTCAGCTACAGGGTTATAAAAACGTGGAATTGACTTCTAGATAACTAAACAACGTTATTCTACTAGCCAATGATGTATCAAACATTTGAATTGTAATTTTTTGTTGTTAAGTGTGGAAATATTATTGTATTATCGCTTCAGGTGATATGAGATCTCGATCAGCCAAATATTATCTTACTTTCGCTATTATTATTAATAGTATTTAGTAACTGTAAAAGACCGAACAATTCGAGAGTTTACAAATACAGAATGTGGATATGTCGCTCAATTTCGTGAATTAGTTGAAGATAGACATTAACACCATTGGATGCCAGTCGGCTCAGCGGTTTAGAGGTTAAGCGTTCGCACGAAAGACCGATAGGTCTGAGGTTCGAACCTTGTGAGGCGGGGTCGTGGATGTGCACTGATGAGGAGTCCCATAAAAGAACGAAACGGCCGTTCAGTGCTTCCAGGTTTTCCATTGTGATCTAGCTTCAATTGGCTTATGATCTCAACTATTGAAAATACAAAAAATTGATCATTTTCTATATCGTTACTGATTTAATAATAAAGAGATTTTAGAATTACCTGGATAGCAGATAGAATTCTTAATAAATTTGATACTCCAGGACGGTTTTCAATATCATAAGTAATTTTACGGATAGAATCTGTTTCAGCACGTCTAATTTTTTTATAAATATTATCTGGTGTATCAGTTAGATAGATTATACCTAATTCTGATGTATCAGATTTACTCATTTTTTTAATTGGATTTGTTAGGTTGTTTATCTGTTGTAATCGAAAAACAAAAAGAAAAACAAAGATAATAATAGATAACTGATGAAATGTTTGAAGTAAATAATGAAATCCATTTTATTTAGCCAGTCATCATCAAAATAAGTTGTTTTGAGTGCTGGCTAAAGGTATGAGGGCGGTAATCACATCCTGGCTGCCCACGCCATGGAAAGGACCTTCTGATGGTACCTGAAAAGGACATATCTGGCACGGTAAGACCTTGAGGAACGACTTCTCCAGCCAGTATAGCTCGATTGGTTCATCAGGATAGGCAAGCCCGACCACCACGTCAAGGTGGCAACAACGTTCAAATATCATCAAAATAGAATCTGATGTATTATTTGAACACATAAATATTGATACAAAGGGGCACTAAATACATATGCGCCACACAAGTCACTTGGTTTGTTGTGCGCTGTGATACTGTCCGGATGCCCAGACCGAACAAGGTGGTTTTTTTAGGGGACCACTACTCCAACCTTCGACCTAAAGGTCTAATCCACAAGGCAGTGAAGCAACGTCAGGAGATGCAATCCTATGGTAACCATGACCAAGATAGGTTCATACGCCATTTGTTCCCTTAGGATACTGGAGCCTATGTGCACCATTGGTTTGGAATCAGGGTGTTTCAGCTCCCCTAAATGGACCCTCCATATCCAGCAACTCGGTTAATGAGTCAGACATTCGTTTTTCGTCCTCTCAATTTCGTAAACAACATCACCGTCACGAGAAGGTAGTGAGTAGGACTTTCCTGGCAGTGGTTGTATGTACGTGGTCATGTGAGAGCTGAATCTCCCCACCCTCGGCCGTAGAAGGGTATTTGATACAATTTGTCACTTTACATTAGCATAACAAGATGAGGTGAACACGATGCATAGAAGAGAGTAGAACAATGTATCAGTAGTTGCGATAAGAATAGACATTGAGGATGTGATTCAAAAAGACAGGATAGAAAGGTAAGGATGAAGGCATACTGGAATACGAAATCTAGAGGAAGATAAAAAGTGAATGGATTTGAACTATGTTAACCTAATTTGCCAACATTAATTGTCGTACCCAACCAATAAATTTGGATCTTCCAGAACAACTCAGACTGACGGTCAATGAATTTGTGGAATGACATGTTTTTGTTTGGCTGCCCCTAGCTTTCTTTCAATCTATTCCTGTTCCAACAAACATCGTCCATCGAGGTAGGTAGTGATTAGCCATTATTTTTTATTATCAATATTTTGTTTGGGATGCTAGATCACCAGAATTGTTTGGTAATTTTATTTTGGAAATCTTGACCCACATACTGTATTTCCTACTTGGAAGGGCCGTAAATTTCATCGGTTCGTTACCTCTTTCAATACGCCATTTTGTGACGTCTCCCAAAGACATTTTATGCTGTATATATATATATATATATATATATATATATATATATATATATATATATTATCTATATATATAATATAAATACACTTGAGTTGTGTGTTTCTGGCTGCTTGCCGAATATACCTTTCACTCATCTGAATATGATCTTCTCCCTCTAGTTAGTGGGACTGGGATGTAACGGAATAGTTTAGCTTGTCTTGTCGTTGTGTCGATGATCCTTAGTTACATTTGCCGATTTTAGGTGATTCTATAATCTCTTCAAACTTAGCAGTTTACTAGTGAAAATAAGAAGGCAAATGTTGTGTCAATTTTATGTATCTTTCCATCTTCATCTATTCCTTTCCTCCTTCCTAAAAAACATATGATAAGTAAGAACTTCAATAGGACGCTAATTTGTCTCAAGAATTTAGCATGATAATGATCAAATGAAAACTGATCCTTATGGAACAGGTAGATTGGGTTGGAATTTTCTAATTAGTAGCAGATGCTTTAGAAACAAAAATTTTTTTATTTTTTTATCCGTTTATAATCTTGAACGACTTATGAATGGCGATGATATGACTGCTGTCGATTAAATATTTAGCTATTGCAATAGCGCCCTTTAAACTCAATTTTTTTTTCGGGACTTGCTCATATTCATGTCTCCGATATTCATTTTTAAATGATAGTATCTATATATATAGGTATATATATATAATATATAGATATATATAATACTGGTAATCATTTTCATTTCATATCACAACTATCAACTTCAGGTAGAAGTCAAATGTACGAATTTCCCCACATATGGCTCACAACTTGTCCTGTCGACCTTGATCTTGATTGGTTATTGTTGACCTTTAGCCTGTCATTGTCTACTTTACATAAGTCTACGGAACACTGATGGGATCACTGATGGGATCACTGATATCAAAACTTATTGCAGAGGCAGTGATGCAGAAACTGGAAGCCACGATCTTACCAGTGATCAAGCCAAAAATTTAGACTCGTCATGAGGACGATACATTCTTCATCGTCAAAAAGGATGAGTTTGAAGACATTATTTAACGTCTTCGATGACATAAAATTCACTGTGGAACGGAAACAAACAAAAAGGCTATCATTATTGAATGTACTGAATACCAGAACCAACACAGGAATACTGGAGATTCTGCATATCGCAAGCCAACCCACATAGATCAAGTTCTCAAGTACAGTAGCAACAACCCAAGAACTCACAAAATCAACTGCGTACAACTATATTCAAGAGGGCGAAAACACACTTCCAGCGTAGAAAAAATATTCGAAGACTATCATCTTTCAAAAGAACGGCTACCCAATCAACTCATCAAAAAATATCAACCCAACGCATCATCAGAAATACGATAAAGTAAAAAAACAAACAAACAGATCATCCTGCCATATATAAAGACATTAGAAATTACGAGATTATTGAAGCCGTTTGAAATAGGTGTAGTACACAAACCAGAAAAATCACTTCAATCAATCCTATGCAAACCAAAGGACGAAATGAAAAAAGAAGAAAAATAGATCATCATCTAGAAATAAATGTTCCAATTGCAAAAACACTACATCAGGCAAAGCGGAAGCCCTCTCATCTTCGTTTGCACGAAACATTAATTAGCGGTCAAAACATAACACATCCTTGTATATCAATGTATGTGAAACAACTGTGGACACACATTCGACTGGGAAAATGTCGAGATCTTGGGTAGAGGCAATTCTGAAAGACCAGAGAATTTGTAGAAGCTTGGTACTCAGGTCATCAGCATCAATAGACACATTGAAATGGATCTAATCTATCAACCAATCAGAAAAAAATGGAAAATATAAGGACCAAGAATCAAATCAATTGGAGATAAAGAAGTGGACAGTGACAGGTTAAAGGTCAACAA